ACCCTCTATGTCCTTTTTCATCTTGTTCTTCCTCTACTGGTATGAAGATACAGATATACATATACATACTCACTCATCCAATGTACCATTTCCTGGTAGCTAAAATGACAGGGCCTTCTCCATCCCATTCCTGCCCCCAGCAGCCATATCCACCTTTTGAAAGTCAGACTGTGGAGGTGATTGTCTACTGGCCACAAGAGCGCTCATCATTTCCATGGTCTCTGTGGCTTCTATCCCTTTGTCCCTGGGGCAGAAACGTCCGCTGCACTCCTTTGTTTTGCAAATGTGAAGACTTCTGGAATTGCCCCTGAAAAGAAAGATAGGTAGGTAAGTGTCAGCGACAATATGATCATAATTATCCTTATGTAGGTAGGCTAGAGGAAGGCTGGATGAAACCTTAGCAGGAGCAGAGTATTAGAGGGAAGATGAAAGAAAGTACCTTGATATGGTTGACTTTATCTTTGCTATCTTTCTCCAAATCCTCTACACTTTGTTCCCCCATTATATAATTCTGCCTCTATTTTCATCCTGCATATTTACTTTCCTTAAATATACTCATTTCTCTCATTTTCTACAAAACTCCTGATCCTCCACAAATGGACAGAACAAAAGCCTGTAAAGCTTTAAATCATGGGGCCGGCCTGTGGCTCACTCGGGAGAGTGCGGTGCTGATAACACCAAGGCCACGGGTTCGGATCCCATATAGGGATGGCCGGTTCGCTCACTGGCTGAGCGTGGTGCTGACAACACCAAGTCAAGGGTTAAGATCCCCTTACCGGTCATCTTTTTTAAAAAAAAAAAAAAAGAAAAGAAAAAAAAAGCTTTAAATCATTACATCTAGACAAGAATTATCATTTGTCCTTTTGCACGCAACAAACACTTTACAATATCTCTTGTGTACCTGCATTAAAAGTAAGCTTTGTAAAGAAAGGTATCTTGATTTTTACCATTTAACGTGCAAGTGCTTATACAACATTAACGGATATGCACAACCAGCTCAACAGAGGTAGGGGGAAGAGAAGGGAAAGAGGAAGAAAGGGAGAAGGAAAGAACAGTAGGAGATTCCTGAAAAAGGTACTGTTGCCCAACACTGACGGGAGTAGAGGAATTTAGGAAGTCTTAAAGGAACGGCAGCAGGACCTGTTTGTAATGATGGAAAACAGATGACAGGAGTGAAGTCAGGGATGAAGTGAGTAGGAGAGACACAATTTTAAAACAAAAAACATTATTTTTTAATACATAAAAGTACTCAGAATGAAAAAAAAAAAACCTGGTCTATAATTCTGCAGCACCAGATAACCCTTGCTGACATAACATTATCTATGAGCATATGTAAATATTTATGTGTATAAATTACCTGTATTTTATATAAAATACATTTTTATAGTCAGAATACTGAAACAGAATACAAAATAAAAAGTGAAAGCACCCCTCCTCCCTCTTCCAAAAGCAACCATTTTTGGTTTTTTTTGTTTCCTTCCAGAAATAAAATTGACAGTTTGATTTAGTTTTGATATGAAAAGAGGATGTGAGCCATAAAGTGTTAAAGTACTCCTTCAGCCAAAAGGGATTTAAGGTTTAACTGACTTCAACATATTTATGATATCTGGCTGGAAGGAAAAAGGGGGCAACCTGAAAGTCCCCAAAACATTTTTTTGCTAATTCTAAGGTCAGTTTACCCTTCTTCCCATTCTCAGTTTCTCTACTAGGAGCTGCAGGAGCAGTATGTCCCTCTCCAGGCCTGGCACCACTATTCCAGAATGCTTTTGAAATGAGGGGACCACTGGCAGCCTTTATGCACACTCACTGCTATAGACAGTGAGTCCTCTGTATACAAAGACCCAGAAGCAAGAGGACAGTAGGGTTCTGAAAAGCTAAGTACCCAGCAAATACAATCAGCAATTTACAGTTTTTATCCACTTATAAACTGGTAAGTATTAACAATCAGTTAATAAAAACAGCTACTATTACCACACTGATTCTTTCAATGAATTTTTATTGAGCACCCTCTATATGACAGGCAACTGTGCATTATGATCACAATGATGAGCAAACAGTAAGCAAACACAGACTTCCTGCTTTAGAAAGTTTATGATGTAGTTGGGGGGGTATATATTAATCAAAGAAACATACATGTAAAATTACAATCATGCCAAATGCTACAAGATAAACAATGTTTATGTATGTTTTCCTCTGAAAGTGTATATGGGTTGAGTACAAATCAGGATAGTAGTGAGCTTTTTTAAAGTAGAAGATTTTCATCGTAAGTCCAATGTACAGCCCAACTGCTTACTGATGAGTAGCTACTGTATACACAATTTTTGAGCTAAAAATTACATAAAATTATTACAAAATTAAACTCTAAAAATAAATATGCTCACAATCCCAAATTATTTCTATTTGCCCATGTTCTCACATAAATTGTTAATAAAAGAAGACTTTGTTTAGGTTCTCGTCCTGGGCTTGGTAGGTAAGCTTTGTTAATTAAGGTGAGGAGGACCAAGGTTTACAAAACAAAACAAAAAATACCTTACTTCTGTTATAGGTTATCTCCTCTGAACCCTCTCCTCCCCTTTTTAAAAAAAATTACACTTAATGTCCCTACTGGATGCCTGTGTCCTGTATGTCCATTCCCCACCCCACTCCCCATTCTTCCTGTCTCTGAACCTGGCAGTCTGATAAACGGACATATGTTCTGGCATACTCTGCTACCAAAACATTAGTTTTTTGATTTTTCTTAGAGATGAAGTGATATGGAATACAGTGGGAATGCTTTACTGTCTCAGCAGTATTAGCAAAGATCATAAGAATATTACGTCTTGTGAATAGAATAGCTTTGAATAGGAGAAAGATGGCTTATAAAGCAGGCAACCTCCCTTCACAAAACCAAGTGCAAATTTTAGGGGATTATGTATACTACTTAGATAAAATTCAGGTTTTGCCCCAACTTTTTTTTTTTTTTTTAAGGCGGCTGGCTGGTAAGGGGATCCAAACCTTTTTTTTTTTTTAAAAAGATGACCGGTAAGGGGATCTTAACCCTTGACTTGGTATTGTCAGCACCACGCTCAGCCAATGAGCGAACCGGCCATCCCTATATGGGATCTGAACCCGTGGCCTTGGTGTTATCAGCACCGCACTCTCCGAGTGAGCCACGGGCCGGCCCCAAGGGGATCCAAACCTTTGACCTTGGTGTTACAACACCATGCTCTAACCAACTGAGTTAACTGGCCAGCCCTACCCAAATTTAAACATAACTACTGATCACTTGTTCTCACAGTTGAGGGAGTCCAATAAAAATTATTCCTGATGTTTGCAGAAATTTAAAACATAGTTACACTACACCATAAGCCACATGTAAAGACCAGGGCCCATTCCCATATGCTTTTGTCACCTAAGTTGAAAATTTATTCAGTACTGTTACAGCACTGAATAAAAAGAAACATGCCCTACCTCTAGGAACTAGTTACTGGGTTAGAGTTCTGCCCTTCCTTTAACATGGCTTCTTTGGATGGGCTCCAAAGTTAGATTCCACTAATCAAAGAGGAAGCCAGCAACATTTCCTTCCCAGACCACATACCCTAAAATCTCTCCCACTGCTGGCTCAAGGCAGATATGAAGAATGCCATTCCTTCAACTCTTGGAAGAGAGCATTCTTCTAGAAAATAGCACCGGATTGGGAGCTGCCTTTGGTGTAAATCCTCGAGTTATCCAGAAAGCACAAGATGAGTTGCTATCAAAGCTTAGGCTCAAAGTACTCCAAATTCAGTTATTTGAATTGGTTCTCCCTTCCTAGATTTTACCTCTTTTCCCTTCCCACTCCTTCCAAGTGACTCACTCCTAACCTAGAGAATAAAATTATGACTTCCTCCGAGAGGAATTGGGATATGGATATTACAACCCCCTCCCCATTCCTTCCCTAAATCCACCTGTCTCTGCCCAAAGGTGGAACCTACTAAGTGAACAGGCCTGAAAATCAGTACAAATTTGCATTTTAAACTCTTATGTTCCCTGAATTCCATAGATAACCTCGCAGAACAGGAAGAGGGTAGTTCTTGGGGAAAACAAATCTCTCTGAAGCTCACCTGAGTTTAAGCTCTTCTAAAGAGCACCTTTTTAGTCCATGGTTTCCAGGCCAGAAAAGTACACTGAACTCAGTCTTCAGCCTTTTAAAAGCAGGCCTAGAAAGATTGCTCAGGATGGCCTGACCCTGTACACATTTGGTACTGAGATCGAGATGATGATCCTCATCTTAAAGGAGGAAAAACAAAAAAACCCTGTGACACAGTGAGGTAAAGTAACATATCCAAAATCACAATAAGGCAAATGGCTGAGGCATATTCAAGGATCTAGTTATCCCAAATCTGAGCCCTTTCCACAACATGATGAAGAGAGGCTAGGATGACTTCTGAATTGACATTAGTCAACACTCTAGAAAAATTAAATAGCTTCTGAAAACTCAATGTAGGGATGCCGTAGCTCTGTACATAAGCAAACAAGGAAAAAGAATTCTTAGGGGGAAAAAGATCAGCAATTTCACATTATCTATGAGAAATAGGTAGGAAAATAGGACTCTGAAGCTTCTGTTGAGTCACGTTATAAACTGCTGACAATAGGGATGTCAAAAGGAAACTGGGGCAGAGATTGGAAAACCTGAGGACTGAGATCTCTAATTCCCAAGAGCACCCCTGGCAAGAACCTGATTGTCCTAGGGTGAGCTCAGTCCCCAGAAGAGCCTAGGGTGAGCCAACACAAGGGTATATAAAAAAGCTTCACAGTAGGAAGATGCCAATACCAGACCACTGTTGTCTACTCACTAACCAGCCAAGTAGTGCTGGGGAACAGACTGTATAACCTAGCATTTTGGCATAAAGGAAGTAGCTTTGACAAGTGGAGAAAGAATGGTTGGGGTAGGAATAAACAATAGGGCAGAAGTGCTTCATTGCTCTAGTTTTCCCTTGGAGTTCAAATGTGTGTGGTTTCAAAACAAAAATCCAGAAACATGAGACTAATGCATTTATTCCAAGTAATTAACACATTAAAAATAAAGTTAAACTTATCCAAGCCAACTCATAAATTCTTTAATCTTTTTAACAAAATGTACAGCCCAGAACATCACACTATGGTGGAAATAACCTGGAAAGGAGGTAGAGGAAGGGATACATATGGGTTTGTGGAACAGAGAATGAGCTCGATCCCAAGTTTCAGATCTTCTACCTCTTCAGAACAGAAATGGCTGCTAAGTAATTTAATACAATTGAATACAAAGTGTTACTGGATCACAATACAATGAACAAAGTCCATTTCAAAAATAAGTGACCCCAAAAGCATATCTGCTCCTGGCATTGAGCCACGAATAAGCCTTACCGATTTGTCGTCTTCCAAAAGTGAGCCTGCCAGATTTTCTTCCATGTTTACTTAGGCCACTTCCAATCAGGTTTGTTAGCAGTACCATCTCAAGCAAAGGCAAGAGAGTAAGGGAAGTACAGGAGTTGACATGTCAACAAGGGAAGTAAACAGTAAACAAAAGAGCTACTCACACTGCATTTCAAATAATGTTAAGGCAGGCCCATCCAAATAGAAGCCTAAGAGATGCAATTCTTCCTTCAAGTTTTCCACTTCAGCAAGCCTTCTGGTGTTTTCCCCACAGATCCATCAGCTGCCCAGGAAATTGGGTAGGAATACAACACAGCAGTTGGAGAAGTTATCTCTGTCCCCCTCCTTCCCACATTCCAGAAATGGCAGAGTCAAAGCCAAAATACAATCAAAGCACACTAAGTGGTGAGCCAGATAGACATTTGATTTTAATGACAAAGTAGAAGAAAATAAATTGGCAAAAAAAAAAAAAATTAACAAAATATTTTACAGTTATGTATAGAAGTAGTTATGATTGATTTGTCTGGAATCTTAAGGGAAAAGGAAAAAAAGGAGGTAAATTTTTAAGCTTCCATGAACATTTACTGTTAGATGCTGACTGCATCTCTTGGTGTAGGTTCCAGATGAGACAGCCAACTAGTCCTGAATTATACAGGCATCTGATTTCTAGAAGCCAAGTTGACTCATCCACAAGTAGCTCTGGGTGTATATGCTTAGTTGTAAACACTGGATTCTGTGTGGTCCTGGATGGTATCAACAGCAGCTTCTTGTTCAGGCATTTCTGGGGGAACCATATTGCCTCCAATTATCTGCTCTCTTGGAGATGACCGTGAAGCTAGAGTTTTTACCAAATTAAAAGGGCTGTCATTGTCTTCATCTACTTGAAGAACTGCTGCCTCTGTGACGGATGCATTCGGTATTTCTAGCTGTGGTGGTCCCATTTCCAGGGAACTGCACTTAGGAGTATCACCTGGCTCAGAAAATGGAGAACATAAATTCTCTTTTTCAACTCCAGATGTTCGTGTGACAAAGTCAACAAGGTCTGGAAGGCAAGGAGATGGACCAAGGCATGTAGGATTAATTGCTTCTGACTCCAATCTGAGTGACTCTTGTTTTTCTAATTGGGAAGTTTCTTCTACTTCCTCAGGCATCCTTCCTCCTGCTAATAGGTCAAGGGCCTGGTGTGTTCCCTCTAAGCCCCCCAAGCCATGGTCAACATTTTCTACAGGAAGTCCAGTTTTCAAAATGTTAGAAGTGATCTTCCCACTTTTGGAATTAGATGAGATTTGTTCACCCTCCATCTCAAAGTTAAGCACCAAGGTTTGGGGAGAATCTAACGGAAACCCAGAAAAAGATGGGATTGGTTCAAAGTCACTGGGAGTGGAGGGATTGCACCCTATAGGTGATACAGAATTTTCTTCACACGCTTTCTGAGACAGGGCAGCTGGAGATCTATGTGCTGGGTCTACCCAAGTATTGCAGAAATCAACATGCATATCTCCCAGATTCCCCAGGGAAGCAAGCTCCTCTACCTTTAAGTCTGTAGCTTCAAAGTCTTCTAAGGTCTTGCTTTCTATTGTCACTGTTAATTGTGGATGGACATCTCGTAGGTCCAGGGCTTCCACTTCTGGTTTCTCTGGGCTCTCCCAGGTCTCTGGCCTCTTCTTGGTCTCATCCCAAATAGCCAGCTCACAGATCATTTTACCTTGAAAGTCTTTTGATCTTTCTCTCTTGAGTTTGAGGCTTCTGTACCTAGAAGTTCTAGAAGCTGATTCTGCGACTGAATTTTCTAGCCACTCCTCACTACCTGCTGAAACTCCTTGCTCCTGTGGACTATCTGTTAAACATGTATCTGATCTGGTTGGGGGCTGAAGAAGCAATTCTGGCGTAGATATTTTCACAGGTACATCATGTGGGTTCTGGAGTAAAGACCTAGCTTCTGATGAAAATGAGTCTATCTTTCCCTCTGTGGAAGAGGAAGCCTGTGCACTCAATTCAACCACTACTTTACTTGGAGTTTCACTTCCTGTCACTAGTTTCTTAGACTGTTCAGCCTCTTTGTCAATTATTAGCAAATTAGGCTGTTCTATTTCTCCCTCCCACATATATCTGTTCCCATGATTCAGATTAGAATCTTCTATGCTGTGGGGCCCAATGTTGATACCTGCTCCCTCTTCAACCATCCTTTCAGAGAGCTTTGCTACCCTTCCTTTTAGCTGAGTGTTTGTATCCACATCACTTCCTCCACAATCCTCAGATTGGTGGAGTTCCTGACTTTCCTTATCCTGGTTACCAGATTCTATGAGGTGGATTTCTACCAACTTCTGAGCTTCCTTGGTGTAACAATGTGTATCTGACAGCTGAGGAGCTGGTTCTACAACAGGTGGCCCTGGCTCTTCCAGGTCAAGTTCTATTTTTCCTTCTGGAGATATATCCTTATTAGCATCACTCTGGAAGGAGCTGGAAGTCCACATGGATAAAGTGTCTGTCTTTGGGGTAACAGTTTCATAAGGCCTGTTTTGGCACAACCTTGTCAGAGGCTGTAGGAAGCCATAGCTGCTGCCTCTTTTTGGGTCTACATGCTCTACAACTGACCATTTTCCTATGGACATCAGAGTTTTTGCAACAGACTTTTCAGGGTTGTTGACTATAGAAGCAGTGACCAAACCACTATCTTGAGGCAAATCCTCTTGGGACGCACTGCTCTTCAAAGCAGAAGTGGAAGAGGTGTCTGAACTTTCGGTCCTAGAGAGGTTGCTATTTTCTCCATTTGCCAATGGACCACTACTCAGCTTAGTCTCAGAAGCCCCCTTTCCACCGCTACTGTAGAATATGTCATACAGGTCCTTAGCATTGGCTGTGGCTAAGCATGAATTTCGCTTCTCCAATTTTTTGGCTTGTTCACTGAACACACTAGACAGGGGAGGTGGAGGACGTACTAACACAGAGAACAGGGTCTCGTCCCGGTCACACTCACTCACCCCAGGAGCTGTCTCATCAGAAGGAATGGTAGCTGGCTGTGCTGAGGCCATGATGGCTACAGGCAATCCTGGGTTCAAAATGTTAGGACCTAGGAAGCCAGGGCTGAGAGTATGAGATACAACAGGGTTTGACTCTACTGGAGCCAAGACAGCATTTGCTTGAGCAGGAGACGGGGTAGCTGGATGAGGTATAACTGGGGGTGGTGGAGGAGGTGGTGGGGGTGGTGGAGGAGGTGGTGGTAGCATTTGCTCAGGTATATGGGATGGCTCGTTCTTTTCAGCCAGCACCATTTTTTCATCTGGGGACCCTTTTAGAATCACCTCTTCCCCTCCAAATGCTTTGGAGATGATGTCTGGAGGCAAGAGGAGATCAGTTGAAGACTCTTTAACCACTGGCAGAGGTTTAGCAGTGGTTCCAGAGGACTTGATGGATAGAAAAGTGTTAAGAGGAGCTGGCTTGCTCACTGTGGCTGACCCTGACTTGCGGAGTACTGTGGATGGGATAGGCAGGTTGGGTCGGATCTTAGTCTGTGTTGAAGTTGTCACAACAGGCATCCAAGGGCTGGTATGTGCAACAACAGTTTTCCCAGAGAGCTTGATTTTGATGGGCTTTGCCTTCCCAGCTTCAGCTTTGCCATCTTCTTTGTCCTTACTGCTTTCCACAATCTCTTCCTTTGGGATACTTGGGGCCACTACTGAACTTTTTTCCTCTTCTTTTTCTGGCTTCTTCCAGCTGAATTTCCCAAAAGATGATGTTGGTGATTCCTTCTTTACCTCTTCTTTTAATTGGAGTTTGATGCTAGCATTCCTTTTATTTTCAGCTTTTTCAGGAGAGTTCCTACTCTCAGAGATTTGATCCTCTAATTCTTCAGAGACCGTGTCATCTTCCTTTACTTCTTTCACAACCTTTGCCTTTTTTTCTTTCTTCTCCTCCTTTGGTTTCTCACTAAGTTTGCGCTTTAGTTCACTCTGCCGTCGCCGTTCTGTCTCTAGGACCACAGCCAAGCCAGCTTGGCGGTCCAGATTCCGCCGCTCCTCATACAATGGGTTTTCATCCACATATTTCTGGGAAGAGAAAAGATAAAGGCTCAAAAACTGGTATTTCATCTTGGCCCTACCACTCTTAGAATTCATTTACTAGAAATCCCTACAGTAATATTCCTTAAGGATACAGATGGTTCTATCAGCTCAGCATCTCTAGGACTGCGAACTTCCTAGTGGTTATATGGAATTTGAAGTGTCATTGACTTTTTCTGGCTCTGAAGTTGTTTGACAAAGTCAAAAGAATTACTACAGAAAGTGGGAAACTCTACAGGCTACTACAAACACCAACCTTGTATTTCTCATTGTGTTGGTGACCCTTCACATGTTGCTCTCCAGAAATTGGATCCCCCAAAAATTCCTCACAGAGCTGGCAGTAAAACCCAGTGATGGGAATCAGAAACTCAGATCCTGGAAGAAGAAAAAGTCAAGGAAATAAATCATTTCCACCAAGGATGACAGCAACCAAAGGAAATCCCACCATCCCGCTGCAGTAAAATGGTTATGGTAGAGAACCTTACCTACTTTGGAGTCAGAAGTAGCATTTAGATGAATCCCAATGGCATAGTCTTCCCAACCTAAGGCTTAAATTCTAGACCTCTATTCTTTCTACCTCTTGGGAACATTAACTAGTTAATTCAGGAGTTTCCTATGCCAGACCCATTCCTGTTGCTGATTTCCTCAAACTCTAATTAGCACCAAGCATCTTAGGATATTTTAAAACTATACTCCCAAACAGCCCACTACCATTTGTATAAGGTATTAATTTCTCAGGAATCTATCTTCTACAGATCTAAAGGATATAGTAGTGACACTACTTGTGAAGGTAAGAAATTGAAAAGTTTAAAAACAAAGACACTTTCCACTTGCCAACTTACCCCTTAATAACAATACTCAAAACATTTTAATTCTTAGTTGAAAACGCAGTTAAATTACTGCACCTTTTACTGTGTTTTTTTTTTTTAACCTGTATTTCAAGTAAATAAGATTTTGGTTCATAAGCCAATGACAGAGTTGGTTTGCTATATTTTAAGTGGTATATATAGGTTTAACATCTGTTAGATTTTTGGCCATATGGGTAGAGATCACTGCTTTATAGATCTCTTTATATCTTTGGGACCTCATACGCTGTTTTGTACACAGAAGGCACTCTTGCAGCTTTGTTAAAATGAATGGCTATGTCTCACACTATGCTGCTTCCTAGCACCTTAGTTCAGGGACACCTCTTTCTTGGCTGAACGTAAAGAAACTACAAAGGAGGCAAGGAGGAAACATACCTTTTGCAGGAACAGTTATCTTGTCAGTGCGCTTTATAACATCGTGCTTGGCCTCACTCTGGGTCTTTGAAGCCCAAGGTCTGTTGTAGGGATCCAGTGTCTATTTGTAAGAGGCAGAGGTGCTCACACAACAGCACTAAAAACTCAATGACCCACTTTTCTCTCTTTTTTTCCCACACATAAGACCAGGCGACCAGAAGCCCCTAGCTACCCACCCCCACCCCCTCTGCCAAATGTTTAAATGGAAATCACCTGTGGAAAAGGTAAACACATGTTAGAGCAAGTACTAGAAAAAGATAAAATGAAACAAAAAATCAGTTACTCAAGGAATCAAAAGAGGCCGAAGCCTCACTTACACTTGTCATGGTGTTTAGTTACAGGCAGGTCCCCTGGACTGAGCCCTGGGGATGGTGTCTCCTTTGTTGGTATCTCTTGGCTCTTCAGATTGGGGCTCCTGCCCATATGAGAATGTTTCATTTTCCATCTTTGTAATGCAGATAGGGGTATAGAAGTTTGAATGGAATGAGGGTGAGAGTGAAGTAGCAGAGGGCAGGATACCTACCTGTGCGTGCTTCTTATTGTGCATATGGGTGAAGAAGTCAAACATGGTCCCACAGATGGTGTTGCAGTCTTTGCACCAGTGATTACCAGCATCATAATACTCATAGGCAGCAATGGGCTGATCAGGCTGCTTAGCAGCTGGCTGGAGGCTTTCAGCAGGCTTGGGGCTCTTAGTACGGGACTTCTCATTATTCAGCTTTGATTCCTAAAGGGGAAAAACCTGTACTCACAAGGAATTCAAGGCAGTCTAGATCTATCTTCTCTCAGAAAAAGCAAGTGGCCATAATAGTAGAAGTATGGCCATATGTCCATATCTCTAATGCCTAAAGCTGTACAAGCTAGAGGGAACCCCAAGAGAAACCTGTCTCCAAGGCTCAAACAGAATGAATTAGATTGCACAGTGCTGTCACACCAGGCAGAGTAAATCATAATGGCAATATATTTACATATATATCCTAAAATACCCAAGAATACCCAAGAAGAATACCCAAGACTGTGGAAACATTGGCTACCTCTGGGGAAGGAAACAGGAGAACAAGGATGGTTAGGAGTCTTTTCACTGTATACCCTTTGGTAAACATTGAATGTATTACCTATGCAACTAAATACATTAGTTAAATTTGAAAATCATAATGACAACTAGGGAGGGAAGAAAAAACAAAATGGAAATGGTAACTGATAGGTTAAACAAAGAAATGCAGAAAATAGGTGACTTGAACTCACTTATCACATGCATCCCAGTATGGAAAACTGGAGAGTAGGGCTGGTGTTGTGCATAGATAAGTAGACAGTCATCGATGTGGGATGACTTAAACGAATTTGGGTAAAATATTCCTAGCTGCCTAAAATATCACCGTTAGAATTTAACACCTTTGGGGCCGGCCCATGGCTCACTCGGTAAGAGTGCGGTGCTGATAACACCAAGGCCGCGGGTTCGGATCCTATATAGGGATGGCCGGTTTGCTCACTGGCTGAGCGTGGTGCTGACAACACCAAGCCAAGGGTTGAGATCCCCTTACCGGTCATCTTTAAAAAAAAAAAAAAAGAATTTAACACCTTTGAGTTACCAAGAATCCTCTTTTAAAACATATCAACTCCCAAACATTTAGTTATCAATAATACATTAATTTGTTACCAACCTGGGAACAAGGCACTTAGGAAGTGATAATTTTGGTTAATGTTGCGGAACAAGGCACAGAAAAAAGATCACTTTGCAACACGGGGAGGGTAAGTATGAATGCGGTTCTAATGTAGACAAGACGAGAGAACTGGGCAACTAAAATATTGACTGGTGGGGAGACGATAAGATAGAGAAAGGGAAACAATTACGACTTCAACGATACTCTTTCCCTACTAGAGTCCTATTGAAGAGCCACTAAAGAGATCACACCCAGCAAGTGGGGATTAGAAGAATTCATGCACTGCTGGTGGGAGTACTAATTGACACCATCTTCTGTAAGATAATCTAGGAATACATATTACACACCTCAAAATTCTGTATACCCTTTTACCCAGCAATTCCACTCCTTGACATTTATCCAAAGGAAATTATTATATCAAACAAAAGATGATTTGATTGGTTAAATAAAATTTACTATCCATACGACAAAAACAACAACAAATGAGGTCATTAAAAATTATATTATAGAAGTATAATTACTGACATGGAAAGATGTTTATTATATACTGAGAAAAGTAGCAAAATACACCTGAATAGTCAGTAAAGATAAATAGGTGCAGAATGATAAATGTCACTTCATCCAAAAGACCATACTAATGACAATACAAAGCACAGCAGTGATAATATGATGGTCCAGGGTTCAATCCCTGCACCGGCCAGCTACCAGAAACAAAAAACAAACAAAAAAAACCCCCACAAAAGACCTTCTGTAACCACTCTATATCCCTCCCTTACCCAGTTTTCTTTTTTTAGGCACTCATCATTATGTAACATGCCCTTGTTTATTGACTGTCTTCTCCCATTTCATGAAAATGTGAACTTTGTCTATATTGTCTCTGCTATACTTCCCATATCTAGACTAGTGTCCACACTTTCTTGGTGATCAACAAATATGTGTTAAATGAATTAATACACAGAAGAAGAGTTTTTGGTATAAACATACCAAGGTATTAATAACAGTTATCTCTTGATAGATAGAATTGTGGGTTTGTGTATGTGTATTTTTCCAAAATGAACATCAAGAAAACCTCAAACCAGCTATACATTTTAAAGAGAAGCAAAAAAAGGAGAAATACCAAGAACAGGTAGGAAAGAAAAGTTGCAGATACAACATTCCTTACTGCTGAGATGAAAACCCAATTGTAACATATCCCTGTTAGCTTCAGAGAACATGAAGACTCGCCCAGATCGAAATTATAGATTGTCATAGGGCTGGTACATTAATAGAACCCCAACTACAAAGGGCCAGAACTTTTATGCTCTTCTCCCAGTAAGGGCCATGGACTCAAGACCCAGGTATAAAAAGACTACAGTCCTACTTGGTTGAAAAAGAGAACTCTCCAAGGAAGACAGGTAGAAATGAGAACTTGGTTGATAGATCATATAGAATATCCTCTTCCATACTCCTCAATATTAACTAAGTATCTACTATGTGCCAGACATACTGGATGCTGTGGGCAGCACAAAGGTAAATAAGTTTTATTCTTTTATCCTCAAGAAGCTCTCATTTAATGGAGGAGAGAGACATGAGAACAGTCTTCAAATAAGAGAATGAAATAAATCTTACAAAGAAAAACTAACATTATGGAGGTGCTAAAGAAGGGCTGACTAAATCTGGGTGGAATTCTGGGACTTCTTCACAAGGAAGATAGTATTCAAGTTGGTCATTAATGGATGAGTGGGGTTGGGAGAAAGATTATTCCAGGCTAAGGAGGATTATTAATGCAAAATCAGAGAGGTGTAATAGCATACTCACATCTGGAAAACTGCGAGCATTTTGAGATAGTAGGAGTGTAAGATGTAGTGTAATATTTCTTGAGTACCCCTCATTACTATGTGCCAGGCACTGAGCTATGTATTGGGAACTATATTGAAGAATGAGACAGATATGGCCCCCGATCCTTTGAACCTTAAAATCTAATTGGGGGAACACATAATTATATAATTATAATGGCTATAAATGCTAAAAAGGAAAATTACAAAGTATTATGAGAGTGTATAGCACGCAAATTTAAACAGTCTGGGGAATCAGGGAAAGGAATCAGGGAAATGTCTGAAGCAGCAATCTGAAGGATGAATATGAGTTAGTCAGAAGAGGGAATAAGGAAAGAATTGAGTTTCTGAGGTAAAGAAAGGGAACAGAAGACACAAAGGCATTAGAGGGGATGATATATCTGAGGAATGAAAAGGCTAGCAACGAAATTACAGTGAGCGAGAGAGAAATAAGGCATGAAATGAGGCTGAAGAAGTAGGCAAAGGAGTAAGTATCACGGTCACTGGCTGTATGTGGAGATAGGACTAAGAATGTAGCAGTAGAAGAAAGAATTGAAGGCTTGGACTTTGACAGCAATAGAGATGGTAAGGTGGATGAAATCGAAGATTACTTTGGAGAGTGAGCTGACAGAATTTGTAATTGATTGGATATGGAGCAGGTAGGAAGAGGGGAGCACTAAGAATGCTTTTTAGGTTGTTGGCATGAAAACTGCTGGACAGTGGTGCCATTCATTGAGAATGGGTAACACCAGAGGAAGAAAAAGTTGGGAGGGAGGTTGAGCACAATCATTAATTCAGTTTAGGACATGCTGAATTTGAGGTGCCTATGAGACAATGAAGTGGAAATGGTGAGTAGGCTGTTAGACACTCAGAAGAATCATTTGAGCTAGAATATGAAACTGGAAGTTGTCACATGGTATCTCAATACAGAACTGGATGAAATGGTCTAGGGAGAAAGAACAGAATTCTGGAGAGTTGGGCTAGGACAGAGCCCTGAGAAACGCAAATATTTTAAAATCATGTACAAGAGGATAAGCAGCAAAGGAGACAAAGCAGCAGCCGCCAGTGTACTAGGAGGAAAAGAAGTGTGACAGAAGCCAAGGAAGAAAGCCAAGGGAGAAAGTGGTTCCTTGTTTCAAATGCTACTGATTTGAGAACTGAAATGTATCCACCAGCTTTAGCAACATGGTGGCAACCTAAACATGAACATGACTGCTAAACATGAATTCCCAAAATGGTACATACAAGTTGTGAGATTAGAAGCCACACTGGAGTGGGTTAAGGAACAAATGTTGGAACAAGAACATCGAAAACCCTGAATACTGAGGATTTTGGATTCTACCTTGTGGGCAACAGAGAACTGCTGAAATTCTGAAGAAGCATACCATGATCTGATCCATGCTTTAGGAAAACAACTCTAGACTTAGTTTTACAATTGGTTGGAAAAAGCTTCTATAGGAGTCCATGGAAAAAAGATTTAAGACAGAATCAAAGAAATGGAAAAGCTGAGTTGTTACCTTATTGTTGGAGGAGTTTGAGGATGATAACACTTTTTCTGGGCTCTTAGATTTTTCTGCTTTCCCAGGCTTCTCTGTAGGCTCTTTACTATCATTTGAAGACTTCAGGGATTTATCAAAGATGTTAATTCCCAAGATCTGAGCCACTTTGTCCAGTTCAGATTGCTTCTTTTCTGCCTCTTCTGCCTCTTGTCGTAGCTCTGCAATGTCCTTCATAATGTTATCCTGAAGCCGACTCACCTCCACCAGGAGTGGGTCTTTGTGGCCATCCTTCTCCCTTCGTTTCTTGCGCAGCATTTCCCCTGAGTAGTCAAGTGTCAACAAAAAGAAACAAAAGGAACATAACTTAAGACGAGCCATTTTTCATTTATAAGTAATAATCTATCAGGACTTTATGGTTACAAAATCTTTTCCAATAAAAGCTTCTAAAAATAAGATTCTCCTTCCACATGGGCTGGTTTAGGTGAAGCTTCTATGAAGGCAAAAAAATGAGTGATTATGTTATCTTTTGTATAAGGGGTGTTAGCTAAGGATCTATAAACTGGTTCCAGGGATTCTATGAACTCCCAGAACAGCATATATAAGTTTGTGTGTGTGTCCCCCAAAAAGGTTAATAAATGGTTTAACTATGAATCCAGTAGTTGTCCTCTCTTCAGAGAGTCAAAGAATTACTCAGAGAGTAAAAACATTCAAAGTGACATAGTTGACTTTAAATGATTTAAGGACACTTTACCAACTTTTTCATTGAGTTTTATGTTTTGCCTCAGGCTGACCTAATGTTATCAATCTGAAACTTCAGGTCCTCATGGATTAATCCTCACATGATAAAAAAAAATACTAACTTTTTCATCCCTAAACAGTCCAAACCCAGGTAGAAGAAATTATATCTTCTCTCACTCTCTGTTCTTTCATACTATCACCAAGCTGCACTATCTAGAAACCTTGTTAGGTTCTTTTCTCATTTTGTATGTAAATTCCTAAAAGCATAGATGAAGAGATGGAATAAAAAACAAGGTATCATGGAACTTCTTCTTGTGCCAAAAAGTAAGCAAGTACTCAAAAAAAAAGATGGGGACATATGAAAAGTACAAACAGGAGCAAACTCAAAGTGGCTCCCACTAGCCAAATTTGGGACAATTTGAGCATGAAAATAAATAATGATAATAAAAGATCATAACATACTGAATGAAAAATTCATGAATTCACACTGATATAAATGAGTGAACAAATGGGTATGGGGTTGGGAAGCTCTTCCTTAAGGTGTAAAGCAAACTATTAAAGGTGGAAGGAATGATGAAGCTAGAAAATCACTATTTAATAACCATCACAATAATAACTGATTCAAGCAAGAATCATCAATGGATGCTAAAACTAGTGAGTGGAAGTTTGAGGAGTAACTGAATATTTACATAGTCTTGGGCTGGCCAGTTAGCTCACTTGGGAGAGCACTGTGCTAATGACACCAAGATCAAGGGTTCAGATCCCCAGACTGTTCAGCCACCGAAAAAAACCCCAAAAACAAAAAACCCAAAGAAAAAATACACAGTCTCAAAATATCTCCCCTATAAGATACTTATTAATTAAAAAGGATAAAATAGTAACTTTATAGTGGTGAAACCTGGCAGACACCACTTTAACCAAATGATCAAAGTTAACATCACCAGTAATGGGACAAATCAACACCTGATAAGAGCTGAGCATCACTTCTGTGATACTCCTGCCAAAAATGAATAACCTGATTGTAATTGTGAAGAAACATCAGACAAACCAAATTAAGGGACATTCTAAAAAATATGTGACATTTTCTCTTTTAAAAATATTAATGCTATGAAATACAAAGACTCAGGAACTGTTACAGATTAAAGAAGATTAAAAGGGGCTGGCCCGGTGGCGCACTGCTACAGTGCGCCGCTTGGGAGCGCGGCGGCGCTCCCGCCGAGGGTTCGGATCCCACATACAGACCGGTTCCCGCTCACTGGCTGAGTGAGGTGCGGGCGCAACACCGAGGGTTGTGATCCCGTTGCCGGTCCCGGTCCGGTACGGGCGTGACACTGAGGGTTGCGATCCGTTGCCGGACACGAAAAAAGACAAAAAAAAAAAAAAGAAGACTAAAAGAACATGAGAATTAAATATGATGAATAATCTTGCATTTTCATTTGCTATAAAAGATATTATTGTGACAAATGGTGAAATATGAATAAGACTGGCTGACTAGATTATACTACTGTATTACTATTAATTTCCTTTTTTTTTTTTTTTGGTGGCTAGCCAGTATGGAGATCTGAACCCATGACCTTAGGGTTATAAGGCTGTGCTCTAACCAACTGAGCTAACTGGCGAGCCCCTAATTTCCTAATTTTGATAAGTGTACTATAGGTATATATGCGAATTCCTTGTTGTTAGGAAATACACACTTAAGTATTTAGGGGTAAAGGAGCATCACATCTACAATTTACTCTAAAAAGAGTTTAAGTATACAAACACACAGATTGACAGAGAAATAAACCGACAGAGCATGTGTAGTAAAATGTTAATAATCTGGGAGAAGAGTACCTGAGAATTCTTTGCACTATTACTGCAACTTTTTTGTAACTATATATCAAGTTTTTTTTTTTTTTTTTTTTTTTTTTTTTTGCGGCTGGCCAGTACGGGTATCCCAACCCTCGACATTGATAACAAAGTTTCTTAAACTGAGGTTTCAGGTCTCTGAACCTGTCTGACCCATTTGGGTCTTCTACTCAAGTTACTACAATAAGGCAGTCATGCAAAGGAATTGTCTGATACCTTGCTGTTTATGAAGCCGCTCTAACTCAGTCCTGAGATAGTACATCTTCTTCTGGCGGGCTTCCCGGTCACTCTTTAGTTTTTCCCTCTCTTCAATAACCTGCAAAGTACAAAATGGTAAGAAAGTCCCTCAGTGTCCAACATCCCCCCTTTTCTACTGCTATCTTCCAAAAGCCCTTGTTTTAGACATTATCTACATGTAAGGATCCAAACGCCTGCATACAGAGGCTCTGACTTTATTTCATTCTGATCCAAGTTCCAGAATAGAAGTACCCTCCTTTTCAGAACTACATTGCCCAGAAAGTATTGTTTTTACACAGGAAGCACATAAAGCCACTGACGGAAACTATTAAAAAGTAGTTCTGAGTCCCAAAGGGACCCATGGAGAAGAAAACTAATACGTGTTGTATGTGAGGCACTAGATTAGTTGCATTACATATTTCAAGTTATTTAATCCTCACATTTTCCTATTTTACAGTAAGAAAAACAGGTTCTGCAAGATTAAGTAATTTACCCAAAGTCATATAGTAAACGTAGATTTAAAATCCAGGTATATCTACCCTAAAGATCATGATCTTTCAATTATATTACTAGTATCTAACGTAAAAAAGCAAATATGGATTGTCTATAACAGGTCAGTGTGAAACCCTATGCATTATCAGCTCTGACGTAAGTGCTAGGCTCTTAAAGGAAAGTAAAGAGAAAAGTGTTCAGTCTCCAAATACTGTTTCTGAAGTCTTAAATTTTGTCTTTATTCAACCTATTCCCCTCTTTCTCAAAGGAGTTCGATAAAAATAAAGACTGAAGTTCAGGGTATCTAAGTACAATAGAAAATTAAGAGGAAATTTTTTTGTCTTTACAAAAATTAGCTAACTTTTTTTAACTGGCAAAAAATGAGATTAGCCCTCCAATTTTTCCTCTTTTTTTCTCCTTAGGTCTTAATTATTTTGTAGGCAATTCAAATTTATACACATTGTATTTTTGTTTCTAAACAGAGTTATCAACCATTAAAGACCTTTGAAATTAACAGTATGTATTAATTTTTCTATTTGAAATTCTTCTATTCTTTATTCTTCATCCCTACATAATTTTTTCCTACTGGTCTAAAAACTTAGAATTATTGTATCTTTACCCTAGCCACAGCTCCCTTCCCACAGCATGGGAATCCAATGAACCTTGATAATATAAAAACTGCTTTAAAAAAAAAGTGTCATGAAAATACGTTGTCACAAAAATGCCATATAAATGAATAAACACATTATCATTATTATTAGGTTCTAAGATAAACCAGAATAAGCAAAGCTTACTTCTTAGTCTAATTATCAAGCAAGAACTAATTATTAGCTTTTAACTCCTATAATCACTATAGGAGAAGGATCTAAAATGTATTGGACTGAAAATAGGTTTAGTGATTCTCCTTCACTGATGTCGTGTTGAAGACTTCATGACTTCCTATACAGTGTTCTAAGACCATTAGTATGGGTAGAGAAATAAACTAAAAAAACCCAAAAACTAACAATCATAGTGGAACCTAAGGCCAGACTTTTTTTAGTCCTAATGATAAAATATGTGAGAAGAACAGAGGGGCTACAAACATTACTTAGGGTGATGGCAGCAGCCTCCAAAGGACTTAGAGTGAAAGGGCCTTATAAATTTTCAGCCCCCTCTAAAAGAGAAATACAAATTTATATTAAAATAGAAAAGCCAGGCACAGGATGTTCAAAGCTAACATTTACCTTCTGCTTCTGGGAAGCACGGTTCTTCTCATCAGAGATCTTCTCTGGATTATATCTTATGAGTGATGGGATGGACACCCGGACAGGCACTTGGACCGCAGGAATTGAGCCTAGCACTGACTCCTCCTGCTTGGGTTCATCAGGAGTCACAGTGGGGATCACACGGAGATTAGGACGGCTACGAGTAGCTTGTTTGGTAACTGGCATTATCCTGTGTGGTTCAGGTAGAGGGTGGTTTGATGGTTGAGAAGCAGGGTACATGGGCCATCTTGAGGCTGCATATGCCATGTAGTGCCTATAGGCATCAAAGGAGGCAGGGGGAATGGCAGGTCCCTGGTAGTTTGGAGGTATCCTAGCTGCAGCAAACTGAGAGGTCCTTGGCATATGAAACTGAGATAAAGAAGCAGTGTGTGAAAGTCGGATTGGGGTAGATGGTGTTGATGGCAACATGCACCTGACTGCAACAGAAGACTGAAACCCACTGCCAACAACCTCTGGTCCTGAAATATGACCCATTGGATGGTCAGACTTAAGGAATGGAGGGCTGTTTTTTGTGAGCAGGTAAGGATCCACAGGGGAGGCTGCGTGTGGATGCGACACTTCTGGGGAGTGGGTATTGCTATGGGGTGCCTCCCTGCTCTCCAGTCTGTGCGGATCTGAGGAGCGCCGATCAGCTGAGAAACGGTGGTCAACTGAAGAACAGCGATCAGCTGAAAAGTGCCGGTCAACTGAGGAACGGCGGTCAGCTGAGGAGCGCGATGATGGCTTCTTGCCATGAAGTCGTTCCTGGGTGCGTGCAGCCAGTTTACTAATCTCTGCTACTCCAATATCGAGCCCTATAGTCTTGAGCAAGTCGTGAATCTTGGCATATTCTGGATTGGTCTCTTCTAGTGATTCTAGTTTTACAGTTGAAGCTGAAGAGGGTAGGGAGCTTGTCTTCTGCCTCATATCTTCACCCTCAGAGCCCCCAAGGGGCTTTGGTAGAGATTCTGCCTTTAAATCCTCTTCTTCATCCCCATAGAGAAATTTCTCCTCATCCTCAATGTCAGGGAAGCTACGTCGCCTCTTTTCCTGTGTACTGGTAGAACCAGCCAACATACTCAGAATGCGGGAAAAACCACTGCCATCCTGGCTAGCTCTCTCATGGGGCAACAAGAAGTCTGTGTGTCGCTGAGATCCCTCACCTTTCAAATCCAATTTTTCTTTGCGGCACAGAAAACTTCCAAAGTTTTCTCTGAGAGGACTACTGTCTTTGGGCATCCCAGGAAAGGGACCCCATTGGTAGAGGTTGCCTTGAGGTTCCTTCAGGGCAGTATCTAACATTGTCCCCTTGTTTTCAATCTCTGAGGCAAAAGCAGCAATAGCACCAGTTAGTGGAAGAGATGGGTGTCCAGAGTAGAGAGGATGATCCTGGCTGGAGGCGGTATTGCTGGAAAAACTCTCAAGCTGCAAAGAAAAACACAACTGATTTTGACCCTATGCAGAATCTTAGAACACTAGTAATTACGATAAATACTTAAATACTTTGTTCTTCCTGAATAGGGGAGATAAATGTATGGATAAAAGGAAGAGTAATCTTAGCCAGGTTCAAGATATGGGTCCCCATCTCTCCAGATGTCTCTGCTGTAACAAGGAGAAATAGAAAATTAAGCAGACTGGATGGAATCCTCACCTCCGCCCATTTGTTATAGTGTTTCCCAAGGAATTTGAATTCAAAAGGATTTTAGAGATCCCCTGGCTTGCTTGTTTTCTTTTTTACAGATCCCCCAAAGAAAAAGACATTTAAAAGTAGAGCTGCTTTGGCTGAACAAGAAATTCTGGAACCCTAACTTATCAGCCTCCCCTTGCTTCTCTAAGTGCTCTTAGGCACTTCCTCAGAAGCCTTTACCTCCTAAGAGGACAGCAAAAAAACTAGTGGTCTTGCCTGACCATTTTTTCATAGGTGAGGAAAAAATATCAAGGCCTAGAATGGTGAGGTGGCTTGTCTAAAAATCAAAAAGCAAGTTGACGGCAGAGGTGGGTCTGAAATCAGAATCACCTGATTTCTGGTCTAGTGTCCTACAAATAGTACATGTTGTCTTTTATTTAAGGAGAGAAGAAGACATTCAGGTCATCTCTTCCCCTTGCCCTTCAAGCTTCATTCCAAAGCAACCCATATTCAAAGTTCCTATAGGGCTATACAATATAAGGAAAAAACATACAGAAGATACTCTCCAAAATGTCTGTTTAGAAAACCTAATGGGCAATAGAAGCCCTCTAACAATGCATTATGAAACCTAGTTATGTTTGGAGAGTTCTGTAAGGTGTAGCTCATAGGCACAACAACGTTGGCTCAGCATATATTACAAAGATACCATTAGGAACACAGACTCTAGGGAAGTAATCAGGCTTTAAGGTACTGGAGGAGCTAGCAAGATATCCTAGAAGAAATGCAGCAGAGACCTGTATGGAAGGCTCAACGTCCACCTCAATCCGCTTCTTCAGAATGGACTTCTTGGGCATCACAGATCCTTCCTCAGGCCGATGCAAAGAAAATCCTGGCTCCGATGCTGTTAGGACACCTGATAATCCAGGAATGGAACAGCTAGCGCCACCACTGTCAACTCCCACCAGCTCCTGACTCAAACTCCGATTTCGTTCCTCCTCTTCCTCTCTCTTTCGCCTGGCAAGGTCTAGCTCTCGAAACTCAGGATCTAGAAACCTAGGGCTTGGGCTTCGTCTACGCTGTCGATAGTTACGAGTCCCTGATGTAAAACCTGGATGATCGCCTCCCATGCTGTGTATCTTCTCTGTGTCATCATAACGGGGCCTTTTGGCCTCCCGGCTCCTTTCCTCAGATCGCATAGAGTAGGAGCCTTTGAGTTTGTCTCTATTCCGTTCTGTTCCCCGTGACAGCTCATCATGACAACTGACATGGGAACTATAATCAGACCGATGCAGGAAAGTTTCTCTTGTTCGGTAGTCCTCATCAAGTTGTCCCAAGAAGGGACTGAGAGGTCCCTCCTCCCGAGAAATATATCGCTCAAGACCCCGAGAGCATTGGGAGCTTCGAGTGAAGACAGAATCATCTGTCAGGTCATCCCTAAGGAAAGAGACAAGCATCACTGAATATAACAGACTTGAAAAGAGCAAGACCAGACAAAGCTAAAAAGACTGACATTTGGCAAAGGTCTACAGAATGTTTAGGGCAAAAGACAATAATCACATCTATGTATAATATGTGGAACATTTCCTTTCCATTTTCCCAGCAGCACAGCAGCTTCAGCTGCTACTCAAGGAGTGATATTACCAATATACATATAGAAAGAGCTCTTAGGCTAATTTCTTTGACTAGACTTTGGAGATGGAGAGTATCATGATAGGGCTTGGGAGATGTTAAAAACTACTAACAGACTACAAAGAGTCCCAGGTTACACAACTCCATACTAGCTAAACTCTAGCTCTTTGCTACTAAAAGTGTGAACTAGATCAGCAGCATTAGCATTACCTGGGAACTCTTTAGAAATGCAGATTCTCAGGCTCCACCCAAGGCCTACTGAACCAGAATCTGCATTTTAACACAATCTCCAGGTAATGTGTATGTACTTTTAAAATCTTAAGAACACCAGTCCAGATGAATGGCTTTTAAGCTGTGTTCCACAGAGATTCTAAAGAGTGCTCCAAAGCTACCTAAAGGAAAGAGATGCTGAGAAAGCAGAATCAGTAGGGCTCCAGGCCTTCCATTCCATTTAAATTATACTAGCCCCAGCTTTAAATCTATATATTTAAGTTCTCAAGGCCTCGCCAACCTCTACCCAACTGGTCCGCACTGTACTCAGAAGCTATATACTGAAGTTCTATATTATATTTCATTTGGAAAAAAAGGGTTTCCCTGAGGGGAAAATTTTTTTAAACTACTGATCTAATTAGCATGATTTTCTCGTAAGTTTTAGAAGGTTCTCCAATGCTTTGTTTGCTGGCTCACATATTAAAACCACAAAACTGCCTCACAGCCTGTTTTGTCATCCCTTTTCCTGCCTTGCCTTGGACTCCACAAGCACGCTGCTAATCTTAGGCCTAGGAAAGAGTAAGTGATGATTTGGCTTACTATATATTTTTATTTCACAGAAATACAAAGTTCTCATGCCTTTGTGGCATGAAGGTAAAAATATGGGAAAGGTCATATGTCCTGTTAGCTTAGAGCTCTACACACAAAAATCCTAATCTTTTTGTGCACTATGGCCATAGAACTTCTCTGACCACAAAAGAAAGCTTCTGATTTTTGCACAGATAGAAATAAAGATCCTCTAGCACTTTAGCATGGAACTTTTTAAGTAATCTGAATGAAAAATGAAAGTGCTTACATATCACTCACATTCCATAATGAATTACCATCTACGGGATATCAATTATCTTCAATAGTTTCTTGTAGCTATTTTTACTTTTTTGGGACTTTCTAGAAACAACTTTTCTTTGTTTTTTAATAGTTGCTTTCTGGGACTACATTAGCTGAACATAAAAGTTGTCTTTTCTTATTCAGCCAGCCCTGCCTTTGTTCAGATTTGCAGATCTGGCAACAGCTATAGATCAATTTTTTTTTCCTTTTTGTCTTTTATCATGACCGGTAATGGGATCGTAACCCTCAGTGTCACGCCCGTACCGCGACCGGCAACGGGATCGCAACCCTCGGTGTCGCGCCCGCTCCGCGCTCAACCAGTGAGCGGACTGGTCTCTATATGGGATCCGAACCCTCGGCAGGAGCGCCGCCGCGCTCCCAAGCGCCGCACTCTACCAAGTGCGCCACCGGGCCGGCCCTATAGATAAATTTTTGAAAGGCTATCAAGGATAAACTTTATCACTTCCTCTATAAAGAATGCCACCTGTGGGAGTACAGGTTCCTCTTACCTACCTCCTCCTCAAGAACTTGGGGAATTCTAAGGTCTCAATGTAGTATGAAACAGGAAGTAATAGGAATGAACCAAAGATAATCTCTGAAATTAAATGTAACTGAAATAATTTTACTACGTAGGTATATCAGCCAAAAACATACCTATTTCCAGAGAGTTCATGAGTTGAGTCACTCCATTGTTAAAACACCATCTACCATACAAAAAGTCTCTGGGCCAGCCTGTGGCTCACTCGGGAGAGTGTGGTGTTGATAACACCAAGGCCATGGGTTCAGATCCCATATAGAGATGGCTGGTTAGCTCATTGGGTGAGCGTGGTGCTAACAACACCAAGCCAAGGGTTAAGATCCCTTTACCGGTCATCTTTAAAAAAAGAAAGAAAGAAAGAAAAAAGTCTCTGATCATATTAATGTTGGGGAAAAAACACAGGCTCCATGGGTAGTAGCAAGTTTATCAGCTCCTCACTATAATTATTACATGTCACCATGAAATGGCATACTAGCCCAAGAATACAGCACTAAATATCAAGAACCTAGAAATGAGATGGCTTTCAGGAAGGCTCAGTCCAGACTTGGACTCTCCAGCAAAAGGAGGCATAGAACAATGAAAGAAGGCATAAAAATGGTAAAAAAAAAAAAAAAAGTATCACATAAACATAGGCAGAAATTAGAAGCCCATGTCATCCTTCCCTAGGAATTCCAAAGGATAAGAGAGAGAACTGGCTGCAGTAAGAGAGACCCCTAAAATGGGCCCATTGCCTGTACCCTGGAATAGTCCAGTGATGAACATTCTCTGAAAACCTTAAGTCCAACTACTTTCTAAAATAAGGTCTATCTATTTAAAAAATAGGTGGATGTGGGTGATGGATACACAGGAATTCATGGTACTATTCTTTCTACTTTGTGTTTACAAATTTCCATTAAACACGTTAAAAAATGTATACAATATATGTCCACATAAAAGCTAATACATCAATGTTCACAGCAGCATTATTCATAATAGCTAGAAAGTAAAAACAACCCAAATGTTATCCATCAATCCACCACTTATGAATGAACAGACAATATTTGGGTAGTTTTCACTTTTCAGGAATGGTGAATGGAATCAAAATGTGGTATATCCATACAATGAAATATTATCGGCAATAAAAAGGAATGCTACAAACATGGATGAACCTTAAAAACATTATGCTAAATGAAAGAAGCCAGTTACAAAGGCTCATATACTGTATGATTCTATTTATATGAAATGTCCAGACAGGCAAATCTATAGAGAAGAAAGTAGATTAGTGATTGCCTAGGGCTGGGGTAAGGTTGGGGAGGTGGGAGTGAGGGGGGACGGCTAAAGGTATGGGGTTTCTTTCTGGCATAATAAAAATGTTCTAGAATTGATTGTAGTAGTGGATTCACATCTCTGAATATAATAAAAGTGATTGAACTATATATCATTTAAATGGGTGAATTGTATGGTATATGAATTATAACTCAATAAAGCTGTTAAAAAAATGTACATGATTTTAAAAAAAGTCTTTCAGAGCCCAATCTCTCCATTCTTTTGAACCTTTGCTGAGTACTCAAAATGCCCCCCAAAAAGCTGTTTGCTTCTGTCTTTTCCCTAAGGCAAATCAGAGGGGGAAAACAATCCTATTCTTTCAACCTATGTCAGGGCAAGGAGTTGTTAGGAGATAAGAATTCCATGAATGGTACATTTAATATGCAAAGTACTTTGATGAACAGGAGAAATCAACCTCATATCCACAAATCTTTAAAAGACAATGTCTTAGAACTTTTCACACAATCTGTTCCTTCTCCCTTTTCGGAACAACTTACAGTCCTACACACAGGGCTACAAAGGTCACTAAAAATCCCAGCAACTTGGCTGTCACCCAAACTTGATATAAAACTTAACAGATTCAGGGGCTGGCCAGTTAGCTCAGTTGGTTAGACTGTGGTGTTATAACACTAAGCATCAAGGGTTTGGATCCCATACTGACCAGCCACCAAAAAATAAACAAATAAATAAAATAAAAAATAAAACAACATGGGCCAGTCTGTGGCTCACTCGGGAGAGTGCGGTGCTGATAACACCAAGGCCACGGGTTCGGATCCCATATAGGGATGATCGGTTAGCTCATTGGGTGAGCGTGGTGCTGACAACACCAAGTCAAGGGTTAAGATCCCCTTACCGGTCATCTTTAAAATAAATAAATAAATAAAATAAAATAAAATAAAATAAAACAACAGGGCTGGCCCCGTGGCTCACTCGGGAGAGTGTAGCGCTGGTAGCGCTGAGGCCGCAGGTTCGGATCCTATATAGGGATGGCCATTGCACTCACTGGGTGAGCGTGGTACAGACCACACCGTGCCAAGGGTTGCGAACCCCTTACTGGTCAAAAAGAAAAAATAAAATAAAATAAAAAACCAACAGATTCAATAAAGGGAAAAAAGAATATGAGGGTCTCAGGAAAAAAATAAACATCTATATACAAAGGATGGCAATGACCTATTTCATTAGCTGAAGACTAGACTCTTCAGGAGACATCCCGAGTATTCCAATGGTCCTGTGGCCTGGTTTTAGGGGACAGTTATTATTCACACAAACCATACTGAGCAAGAGGAAAGGAACACAAATGTGCAGGAGACAAAAGTATAAAGAATGCCCTTGTACCTCCATTTGGGCATTCTTAATATTACTTTCTCTAAAGCAGACTTGTCTCTCTGAAACACATGATTCTGGAAAGATTACTGCCCCAAATGCCCTAAGAGGAAAATTTTAATTTTTATACAAAAAGACAATTGGTTATCTGAAGCACACATGCATAACAAAGTTTATGCAAAGAGGAGGTGACATCCTAGGCCTAACAAGAGGAAATGCTGAATTTACCTCAAAACCTCAGCAAGGAAGGAAGAGAATCACACCAGGCACTACCCACCCAGACTGCCTACTCAATCATCTCTCAATATAGAAGCAGCCGGAAGGGCCAAGGCTGTTGCCTCAATTAAGTGATATAGTCACATGCCTTAAAGCCCTATCTTCAGAAGCTTCAGTGTTATATGACATAAGACCATCCTGCCTTGCTTCACTGAATCCACAACCACTGGAGCTTTGATGTAAATATTACCAGTGGCAGCAGTGGTCCTCAGACTTCCTGCCCAGCTGCCCCCCATCTGCCTGCCTATGCTCTGTGCACCACTTCACGGACAGTCTCAGTTTGAAAGAACATTACATTGATTTATCACTACTGCTAATCGTTTGTGAAAACTCCCAATGTGCTCAGAAGAGACCATAACAGACAGTCTCAGCTCTGAAAAAGAGAGCTTTCCTGCACTCCCATTCATACTTTTTGACTTTTGTGAGGTGAAAAACACCTACTGTGATTATTTACTTCCCTTATATAGTTAAGTTCATAGTACCTGAGATGTATATTCAACCCTCTGTGGAACATATTTGGCTTTCTTCAGCACTCTATAGTTGTAAAGTTAAACATTTTTAAATATCTCTAACTTTTTGTTAATGCTTTATATATGTAATATATACATATACTAGACATAGGTTTATCTAAACCTTTTCAGAATCTATATTTCAGCCTGGACAAGCTGGAAAAAAAAAAACACCATTTAAAAAAAGATTTCTTATTTTGTCCAGAACTTTCCTCCTTTACAGAAAGGACCCCTTGTAGTTCCAGTATTTTAGAATCCAAACCATATCAACTGTTTTTGATTTGGGAGACTCTGATTGTGTCTCCTCAGCTTCCTCTTTCTAGTCGGACCAGGTAATCTTTTTAAAGTCTTTTATTCTATACAATTCATTCAGCAACAAAGTCTACACCAATATACTCTCCCCATTCAGAAAGTCTTTCCCAACACTATACGTTGTACTGGACACATGGGCATAGGGAATAACTTCAGTGCTGGCACTATCTTTTCAAATACCTCATTCAGAAAACAGCAATCTTTGCCTTCAAGTACTGGCATAGTGCGCCCTGCTGTAGATGAAGCCTACCTGTCCATGTCCTCCAGATTATCCACTGGTGACCCCAGCCGATCACTAAGCCGTCGCCGTTCTGGCGTGCTAACACAGAAGTGGTCATTGCCAACAGTGATCCTTAAGCTCTGTTCCAAAGAGTCAGAATGCAGACCAGGAGAGCGTCTCTACAAAAGTAAAAGATAATATGGTAGTTAATAGAGTCAAGACATCCCTATACCCAAAAACGTTTTCCTCCTAGTCACAAAGTTGTGGTCCAACAAGGTGAGAAACGGCTATGGTAAAATAGTACTCCAAAAATAAAACTCTTCACAAATCAGTTTTTCTTGGAGATAAATGCCCATGCTTCCAGCCCTCCAAAACAGTGATCTCTCAGTCCCTGCTCTCAGAACCTTATAAGGGTACTTCAAAAAGTTCATGGAAGATTCATATTATCTTTTAATTCTATTTTTCCACGAACTTTCTTTTTTTTTTAAAAAAAAAAAAAAAAAGATGATCGGTAAGGGGATCTTAACCCTTGACTTGGTGTTGTCAGCATCACGCTCAACCAGTGAACGAACCGGCCATCCCTATATAGGATCCGAACCTGGGGCCTTGGTGTTCTCAGCACCACACTCTCCTGAGTGAGCTACGGGCCAGCCCTTTTCCACAACTTTCTGAAGTGCCCTTGTACATTTCTAGTGAAGGAGGCAGGCCAAAACAGGTTTAAAAAATTATTTCTGATAGGGCTAAGTGCTATAGAGTCATTAAAACATGATACCATAAAACAGGCTAAGGAAAAGGAATTACTTAAGGTGGGATGGTTATAGAAGGCTTTTCTGAGGTGATATCATTTAACCTGAGATCTGAATGAGATGTCAGCCTTGCAAAAACAGATAGAAGGATGTTCCAGACAAAGGGAAGAACCACCTCAATAGTGAGCTTGGCATGTTTTGAGTAAAAGAATGAAAGCCAGTGTGGCTGTAGCAAAGTCACACAGAAGACAGGCAGAAATCAAAGTTAGCTAATTTGGATTTTATTCTTAATGTAATAAGAGATTCAGGAGGGTTTTAAGGAGAGTGATGTGATCTGACTACAATTTTTCTCTACATGTTTGTTTTGCTCACATTCTTACCTCTTCAGGTGTTTATTCAGAAGTCACCTTCCCAGGAAGCCTTTCCTGGCTACCCCATCAAATCTATAACTTCCTTCTCTCCTTTTTCTTCTTAGCACTTAATCACATTTAACGTGCCATAGCATTTCTAGCTTCTTCATTTTATTTATTATCCAACTCCCTTGGCTAGAATATAAACTCTAAGAGGGCAGGGGTTTTGTCTGGTTTATTCACTGTTGTAACCCCAGGCCCAGAACAGTGTCTTACATATGGTAGACACTCAATAAATACTTGTCAAATGTATAAAGTGAAGGTTTTTTTTTTTAAAAAAAAGATGACAGGTAAGGGGATCTCAACCCTTCGCTTGGTGTTGTCAGCACCATGCTCAGCCAGTGAGCAAACCGGCCATCCGTATATGAGATCCGAACCCGCAGCCTTGGTGTTATCAGCACTGCACTCTACCGAGTGAGCCACGGGCCGGCCCTAAAGTGAAGGTTTGAAACAATAATTTTAATTGCTGTGCACAGAATAAACTGGAGGGTAGCGAGAGTATAGTGTAAAGGAGCCAAATGCAAAAATCCAGTCAAGAGGTAATTAGGCTTAAACCAAAATGATAGCAGGAGGACAGTTTGGGGGATGTATTTTGGAGGTAGAGCTAACAGGTTAGATGGATGAAGTTAATCTGACAGATTAGATGTGGGGAGAAGGGAGATGACCCTTGATTTGAGCAATGGATGGATGCCATTTACTGAGACAAAACTGGAGCAAGGGAGAAGGGACAATGTGGAAACAAGCATTCTGTTCTCCTTGCTTCCTCTGTAGTCAATGACACTCAGATTGACACTGCTCAGCTTTGAGTATCTTAACATAGTGACAAGTCAATTCACCTATGACCAGAGTCCGCAGCGTACTTTTAATACATGCTAGAGAGCCACTCACGAAAACAGAAACTTTGTCACTGGGTTCAAAAACATTGAACTGAAAATAAAAACAAATTCCAAAAGACCAAATCCTACCCAGAGGCTCTACTAGAATAGTGGTTACGATGAGAGGTCAATATCACGTCAAATTTCTTAATCTCACGCTGTTCCTCTAGCAGTGAAACATAACGGTTAAAACCATGGGGTTTGGGAACCAGGCAGATCCCAGTTGAATCACAGCTCCACCACTTCTTAGCTGTGTGAGTTACTTAAACTTCTCTGGGTTGGTTCCTTAGCTCTACAACAAGGAGTAAGAAGTACCTCACCTTAAAGGGTCGTGAGGCAAAAGAATGTGACAGGCCTTAGCCATAATTCCTGTCATATAACTCAATGTGGTAGTAGCTATTACAATGACTGTGGTTATGCACACTTCGTTTTGGAGAAGCAGCTCCAATTTAGATAAGCTAACAGTTTACACTCTAGGCATCTAACCTGGTACCGTCCCTACATGCCACACGGAATTCTGGGGAAACGCCAACTCTCCACAAAGTACCAGGCACACGGTTTGGACAAAATTTCTTTTCCCCCGCCCTGGAAAACTTTTCCACACCTCATTCAGAGTGAAACAGACTATTCTTAAGAAACGGAGCACTCCCTTCCCACCAGGCGCCCTGCTGGTCCCGAGTCCGTTATTGTGTGAACGAAGCTGCTGGGGCCGGCAGGGAGCCTCCAGGCTCCGGGGTGGCCGAGGGGGCCGGGGGCAGTCTTCGATTTTAGGACGCTGGCCTGGAGGCCTAGGGTCGCCCGGGCTAGCGGAATTTCTGGAAGCAGGAACTCCGAGCGAGGGGACTGGGGTATGAAGGGAATCCTGGTCAA